ATGAGGGCAACATATGTACAAATGTGCTTTACACAATTGATGTATATGGATTGTGATAGGAGTTGTACGAGTCCCCAATAAAATGATTAAAAGAAAGAAACCAAACTCAAATATAATACATGGAGACACATTTAAGTCTTAAGCAGAACAAAGACAATTCATCTGGATAAGGGAGACTTGGTATGAGGCCAAAATGGCGTCCAAGAATTTATAGAAAACAGGCCACTTAAATAGGACATGGGAGGACAGGGAAAACTGTCACAAGAGCATGATCATCATCAGCAGATCAATACATCACAGTTGCAGGTAGGACTGCCAACATGTGACTGGGATCATGATTGGGACACGTACATTTTATGCTCAGCAGGAGAGCTTACAAGATTGGTTTCCGGACTCTCTATTCAAAGTAGTGAGGGTATGACTCAGGATCATGTGATCTTAGGACCCCAATTCCAATGATGGGCACACCTAGGCAAGTTCCTAAGGGAAAGACTGCCCCTCTCTGGATGGCTATGGGAAGGGTAGTTAATCTACATGCAAATGCACTTGCTAGTCAGTGGTCAGAATTCAAGCTAAGGATTTAGGGCTTTCACTGTAAACAGTACCCTTCTAAAAACACCCTACTCAGAATCTAAGCTCCAATATGTGAACTGAAAGCTGCCACCTGTCCTCTGATCTCTGGCAAGACTGAAGCTTGTTTTCTGGAAACATCATTTTACTAAGAGTAACTGCTTTTCGGAGGGCGGTAGGCTTCCCTTCTGATGCCATCACTGAATTCAGAAAATGAGTCTACCTTCAGCCCAAGGGCAGTTACGTCTACTGAAACAGTACTTCCAGAACCCAGGGCTCAGTCTTGCCAAAGATCGTAGCAGGACAGGTAAAGGGCCTCCCTGGTTTTAAGGTTGCTATGAGTCAGAATTGACTCCATGCAGGGGCTTGGGTTTGGTTTGGTGGATCGGGTTATGCATTGGGCTACTAACAGCAAGGCCAGCAATTGAACTCACCAAGCTGTTTCTTGGATGAAAGATGAGACTTTCTGTTTTCATAAAGATTTCCAGTTTTAGAGGGGCATGTCTAATCAGAGCACACAGGAGCAAACAAAGGGAGAGGAAGAGAGAGTTGAGCACATACTGGCCCACCAAGCCCCGAGGACCATTCTCCTGCTCAGAGCAGCCAATGCACAGAGCAGACCATAGGGCTGGCCTCACAACGAGACACAACAACCCTTATTGACCCATAGTGCTACAGGGGACAACACTGGAGACACGGTGCAGGAATTGTGCCTGATCTGACCCTACCACACTGAGGCAAAACACGAAGGGCGTGCAACAGAACAGCAAAGGGAACAGCGCAACCAAGCAACGTTTCATTCTGTTCTTGTACCATGGGTTGCTATGAGTCGGAACCAACTCAATGGCATCTAATAGCACACGGTTCTGATCCATTTAGAATTTTCTGGTGATAAAATCTATTTTGTCCACCCAATGTCCCAAAGAATTCCTGAGAACAATGGCTGGGAGAGGGGGTTATCTTCATAAAAGCTGGGGCAAGTCTAGTCTGATTGACCACCCATCACCTCTCTCCTACAGAGGGCAGGCCTATTCCTGACCCACCATCTGGTTAGGACCAGTATCTTCACTGACAAAGGAAGCAGACTTGGAGTTTCCCTCCGACTCCTGAAGCTTTCTTCCTAGTGTGAGATCGTGTAATATTCCTGCCCTCATCACACACTCCTAACTCATGCTGTTAGGAGTGAAATGACACGCTGTTAGGAGTGAAAATGATCAGTGAGGAGAAAAGGAGGGCCCAGGCTTGACTATTCCAGCCCCATCCTCTCCCTTGCTCCTGGGCACCCACAGGCACACCTACATAAAATAGCACCTATGGCAAGCACCAACTCTGTACCCTATTCAAATTCTGCCCACCCCCCACTCCCTGGTCTGATCCCATCTTTCAGGCAACTTTACCATAATATGGGCTCAAACATACAAGTCAAGCACATTCATGTTTTACTGAACACATGATGGTGCACTATGAAAATAACAACTACCCCTTCTTTGCTTTCACTGATGAGAACTGGTCTACAAGGGATCAAAATCATGCTTTTCAATATCTTCTCTTCTTACACACAGCAGAGCAGGATCACACAGCCTGCCCGTGGAGGCTTTCAAATACAAAAGTACTGGTTTAACTTGCTAAATGAGCTCTCGGGCAGGCGATTTAAACTGGATGGTGAACAGAAATTGGTTAGTGGCACCCCCTCAAGTGGTGCCCAGGGCACATATTAAGGTCTCTGCGGGGATACCTGCTCTAGGTCAGACCAGTGCCACTGTGGAGGTGAACACAAACTGGAGATGAGACCGAGTGTTGCTAACGCTGTCCTCTGACAATGTGACAACATGAGCATTTGACTTCTGCTTCAGCACATCATCCCACCTCAGAGATATCACCAGTTTGCCATACGTGGCAAGTGATAGATGGTTATAACTGTTACAATGCTCAGGGCCCCAAGGAGAGGACTTGACAAATGCTTGCTAATGACTAAGTGGAGTAATGTCACCAGGCATCAGTGCCAGGTCTTCTACAAGGTTGGCAAACACATTACTCTTTTCAAAGCCTTCACCTGTCTACATGCTCCTCTGCCAGCTCACTGTTGTCCCCTTTGTTCGGGCCAGATGCACCACTTCCAGCTTCGCACCCCCACCGGATCCACCGGATCGTCCCCGGTTCCTTGTTTTGCTCACAGTACTCCCTCCCTCTGCCATGTCCTTCCCTGGTGCCTCCAGTGAAAACCTCCTCAGTGGTCCAGACTCAGCTGTGACAGTCTTCCCTGACCCATCTCTAGGCTGAGCTGGAATTCTCTTGTAACATCTGCAACCCTTTATGGGCTCATTTCCTCCCAGAGATGCCTCTCCTGTTAGACCACCAATCCTCTGGCATCAGGCACTACAGCTCTGTATGCACGGTCTGCCCAGAGCAGTGTATCTGGCATTTAAGAGCCATTTCATACATCTTTATCTAAGAATGATGGAGCTGATCAACTAATGTCCATCAATATTGAAAACGCAGGCACTATTCATTCAGTAAATGTTTCCGGAGTTTCTACCACTTTTCAGACGGTATTGGGCTAGTGTGTAGTAGAATAAACTTGGTCTTAGAAGGAGAACCATTCTTCTCATTTATCAGCTATGTAATCTTAGACATGGTACTTTCTAATGCTCAGTATTCTCATCCATCACTCCAGCCAGGAAGTGGAATAAAAGATAAGGGTTAAATGAGGTATATCGAGGGGAGTGACAGCAGTCTACAGACTCTGGAAACGCCAGCACCTTTCCAAGGTGGCTCAAAGGGTTTCCAGTGAGCACTGGAGGTAGGTGCAAATAAATAACTACACTGTGAAACACTAAATGCTCTACTACTGTCATGATGGTTTTTACGGGGCGTGGGTGCGTTAGGACACAGATGAAAACATTTTGCGCGGGGCTCCTGGGGAGGGAAGGGGCCACAGCAAAGCTACACAGAGGAACGGCAGATAGCAGCACCCTGCTCCCCCTTCTGAACTCTAAGCAAAGGAGACAAGCATCCACCAGCACCGAGCTGTGAAAAACCAGGATCCAAATGAGAAACAAAGTGGTTGGGTAAGCTTACTGGCAGTCATTAAGACAGACCCCAGAAACGTGGCTGAGAAGGAATTTGGAAGGTTTCATGTGTAGTAACTGGGCGCCATGAGCGAGCACTGCTTAAGCCAGAGAGTGGTGGGAGTACAGGTCTGGTTAGAACCCCCACCTGGGCACTACCATGGGCCACAGACTGGAGCAGGGGAACCTCGTGGGCGGAGAAGCTGGCAACAGACTTGTATAAAACAATGGGACTGACAAGTCTAATAACCAAGCTCTAAGCTTTCTAGATGGAGGCCCTCCAAATCCTATGGTGACCTCAGAATAAAATAAGGGCCTTTTAAAGAGACTGGGAGCAGGTACAACCCAAGCAGGAGAGCATAGGGTTCATGTGATGGCCCCATTCCTTGCCCTGTAAGATGGCGGGAAAGGAGCAACAGCCTCAGAATATATGAGGGGGTACCCCCCAAAAACGGAGCATAGCTTTCGCTCTGAGTTAGTGTACCCAGTGGTGTCACCTGATAAGGTTCACTCTGGTCACTGTGAATTTTTTCATAAAAGCAGTTTTGCTCCAACTTTGTTTTTTTTTGTGTTGACTGATTTAAGAGAACAGCATGCAACTATGAAATTTTGTTTCCTGCTCGGGAAAAATGCCACAGAAACTGTTGTGAACACAACTTATAAGGACAGCGCTCTGGGAAACGCTGTATGTGTGGTTTTCTTGTTTTAAAAAAGGTGAAATTGACCGATGACAAACCTCAATTTCTCGAACAAACAAAAATGTCAACTTGTAGTATATTTGGAGTTTGTTCCACCAGGTCAGACTGTTAATCAAGCTTTCTATTTAGAGGCTCTGAAGAGACTGTTTAACAGTGTGTGACAAAAAGGCCTTATTTGTGGCAGATGGGGAATGATTTTGCCACCATGACAATTTACCTGCTCACACAGCTATCTCACTGTGCTAGGTTGGGGCAAAAAGCAGCATTTCTCTCTTGCCCCACACATCTTACTCACCTGCCCTCACTTTGTGTGACTTCTTTTTGTTTCCTTGAATGAAGAGGGACATGAAATGACAGCAATTTGACAATGTAGAAGAGGTGAAGAAAAAAAATGAGGGAGGTGCTGTCGGCCATCCAAACAGATGAGTTTGAAATATGTTTCCAAGAACAGAATTGCAGATTTGACAAACATATTAAGTGTAATGGAGAGTACTTCAAAGGTGATAAGGTTGTTTTGCAAAAAAAAAAAAAGTTAAATATATAGCTTTGGGAAAAAATTCCGTTGGGGGGGGCAGTACACCCTCATACACTTGGCTGCTTTTTAAGATGGAGACTCTCCTATTTCATTGTCATTATGTAGTGGATAGAAATATTAAAAACTTACCTTTGACAGTATCCTGGGGCAACACAAGCCCGTGAAGATGAGTCTAGGTAGGCTACATTCAGTGCAAAGAAACAAAATCCTGGAAAGAAAAAGAAATCACAATGAGCCACATGCTCGGAACATGATACCAGGGGACGTGAGGCAAACAAGCTCTGAGTTCAGGCGCTGCTTTGGGTTGAACTGGGTTCTCCCACATGCACGCCGACGACCCAGTCTCAGGCATGCCCTTATTTGGAAACAGGGTCTTTAAAGATATTACCAGTCACTAGGAGACCATACCGGGGTGGGTAGGTCTTAATCCAATATAGCCGATACCCTTGCAGAAGAGACGCTGCCGGGTGGAGAGGGAAGACAGTCCCGTGAAGGTAGAGGCAGAGAAGGAATTTAACTGCAAGCCAAGGAATGACACAGCCAGTCAACCTTCCCCAGAAGCTAGGGGAGAGGGACGGATCAACACGGTCAATCCCTGACTTTGGACTTCCTGCCTCCAGACAAACTTCTGTTGTTCGAGCCACATACTTTGTGGCACTTTGTTCTACCAGCCCCAGGAAGCTAATACAGACAGGCCAGTATGAATCCAGACTCTTCCAATGACCAGTTATTCTCTTGTCAGCCAATGGCCTAACCTCTCAAGGCCTCTCCTTCCACATCCCACAATGGAATGGGAAACAGAATCTCCTTCATAGGGTTGTTAGATGTTTAAAACTGGACTGGAAGATGAGTTATAAGGAATTTATTAAATCATATGCACACAGCTAGCCCTCTGCATGATGCTTAAGTAAAGACACCCTATGCGTGCTCAATAAAGGCAAGTGGTTGCTAAGAGCGTGAACTAAAAGACTTTTTGATGAAACATTAAACTTTTGCTTGTTCTTTTGCCAAATCGCCTTTTCAACACCTCCATTGGATGTGTCATAATCTCTTCAGATTCAGCATCTCCCAAACCACACCGTTCGTCCTCCAACCCCACCCCTCTCTTACACTGGCCCCCCCACCTCCTCCCCCACCCAACCCCATCCTCAAAGCACCACCATCCACTCAGGTTCTCCAGTCAAAGCCCTGAGATTCACCCTACAGTTCTCTCCCAAGGCCAGTGTCCACGTTTAAGGCCCTTAGCAAGTCTTCTCATGTCTGGGTCCAAAATGCTTGTCTCAGTTCTACCCACAATTCAATCCCAGCACTGTCGTCATTTCTGGTTTGTGGGGAGCCTTTTATCTGGTCTCCTTGGTCTCATTTGTGCTCCTCCCAAACCACATAATGCCTGGAATCACAGTGAGTGAGGTGCTAATAAACATCGTATAGTTTTTATTTCGTGGTAATCGGGCTGCAAAAAGGTTGTAGAAAATGAAATGAAAACATAGTGAAATTTCCCGTGAACTATTGGAATCCCTTTCATATATGTTGTGTGTGTATGCAACGACAGCCACTTATTACCAAACATTTAGAAACTCCAAGCCAGTCCTTACATTTTACAGTGGCAGAAACAAATGACATAAGTTCTGCTTAGATCAGAATCTGGACTTATATGTGCAAATGTGGTCAGACCTGTGGCAGATGAGACCGACAGGAGCTTATCTGGGACCAGTGTCGACACCCCTGGGCAGGTTTGGATGTGGGCCCCTCAATTTTACAATCAGCCTAATGCTGCAGCCCTAGAACCCCAATTCCCAGCCCGAGGATCCAAGCAGTGGGCCACAGCTGTCGAGCAGTACACTGTATCAGGCTGCGAGAGGTGGCGTTCCACTGAGCCCTGAAGCACCTGGATGTCCTCTGACTCGCCATCCCCTTAGCTTTTATACATGATCTGAATAAATTAATAGCATATGCAACTGCACTGTGATGAGTATTAGTAATATTTTCATTATGCTCCGGATTCCCCTACTATACATGCTCTTTTCCGGACCATCCTTCTACAGAGTAAATCTGATCTCTGGGGGCAGTGCTGCTCGAGTGAAGTTACTGCCTGTGGGGTCACAGTCCAGGTTTCCCCAGCTCCACTATCACTTCACAGCTGCCTCCCAAGTGCTTTTCCTGTTCCCAACCTGCTTTCCGGCACCCTGCTGAGAGCCCTTTCCATAACTCCCGTCTACGACTACATTAGAAGCTTGCCCGGAGGTACTCTGTACCCTCCCTGGTGGGTGGAGTGTCCTCCTGGGCGATAGGTCTCACTGAGATTATCCAGAACCCTGTGTTCTCCTTGACAGCAAAGGCCAGGCCTTTCACGTCTTTGAGTCTGGCACTGGGCGGAGTTCAGTGAACACAAACGGAACTGAATTCTGATGTAATCCCTTCAGGGCAGTACTTCGGGGCTGGGCTTCCCCACGGAAAGGCCCTGGTGAAATGTGAAGCAGACAGCTAGCTGCACCTCCCACGAAGCCTCTGGCCCTCACGGAGGCTTTGCGGATCTGAGATTTGGCGCGTTCCTCGGCACCTCGAAGAATGACGGGATTCTTCTTGAACTCTGTGTCAACCACAGACTATCAAGATAGTAACACTGACTAATTTTCAGTTCCTTATTCTGCTGATGAAAGAGTTCCCAGTGACACAAGGGTAAAGTGCTTGGCTGCGAACGAAAGGTTGGTGGTCTGAACTAACCTATTGGCTCTTCTGGCTTACAGATTTCTGTCAGTTTGTCGGGTGGTGGTGGCTGGTGTGATGCTGGAAGCTATGTCACTGGTATTTCAAATGCCAGCAAGGTCAACCAAAGTGAACAAGTTTCAGCAAAGCTTCCAGACTAAGAATGAAGAAGGAATCGACTGTCCACTTCTGAGGAACGAGTCACTGAAGACCCCTAAGCACAGCATGCAAACACTGCTGGAAGCTGAAGGCCTAATGAACAGATGCAGAACACTGTCGGAGGTAGCGCCAGAAAATTCGTCCCACAGGTCAGAAAGCACTCAAGATATGACCGAGGAAGAGTTGCCTTGTCAAAGTAGTGTCTACCATATGGACTTGAATGGAGTAAAGCCTGTGGGGATAACTAGCCTTTAGGACCTTCACTTGCTGATGGGAGGATGACTTAAAAATGAGACAAAACAGCTGCAAAAAGTCTACCAAAGTATAAATCTAGGAAAATTGGAAGTGATCAAAAATGAAATGGATTATGACTCAATATAAAAAGATCAAAATCTTCACAACTGGACCTATAGGTAATATTGTGCTAAAAAGAGAAAAAATTGAAGTTGTCAAGGATTTTGTCTTGCTTGGACCCACAATCAATGCTCATGGAAGCAGCAGTCAGGAGATCAAAGGACGTACTGCATTGAGCAAATTTGCTACACAAGACCTCTCTTAAGTGTTGAAAAGCAGGACTACTTTGAGGACTTAAGGTGTGCCTGATCCAAGCCAAGCCATGTTACTTTCAACGGCCTTACATGCATGTGAAAGTTGGACAATAAGAAGACTGAATAGATGCATTTGAATTATGGTGCTGACAAATAAAATTGAAAGTACCCAAGACTGCCAAAAGAACAAACAAGTCTTAGAAGAAGTATAGCCAGAGAGTTCGTTAGAGGCAAGGATGGAGAGACTTTGTTTCACATGGACATGTGGTCAGCAGAGACCACTCCTGGTCTCGTGGAGGGCATCATGCTTGGTAAAGTAGAGGATCAGTGCAAAAGAAGACGACCCTTGACAGGACTGATTGAAAAGGTGGTTGCAATAATGGGCTCAAACCTAAGAAAACTTTGAGGATGGT